CCATATCTCTGAGTTTTGAGTGGGCGCTTGTCGCCAGTTTGCTGCGCACCTGTTTGCATGCATGCGAAGTGTGGATGAGAGCGAGTCTGATTGCACAGGAGTAGTACTAGCGTTAGCAGTAGTCTTCAACGCTGGGCGCTCGGTAGCTGTAGTCTTTAGTGTTGGGCGCCATAGCAGCTAGAGTAGTACTAGAGAGCGAGAGATTGGGCGGAGGCCAGAGGAACTTACCTGCAGCGCCATTGCTCCAGCTTCGTCTTCGAGGTGCCTGCAGCACAGCGCCATCTTCACAGGTTAGTACCTGGCACATGAGAGAGAGAGTTCTTCTTCTTCCTCTTCTCAGTCCACCATCTCCTTCTCACCCTCTCGCTATCTGACTTCATTGCATCAACAGACTATGAGGGAGAGAGAGTGTTGCACACCATAACGGTGCAGACCAGACCAAGAACCGATCTTTCTCGCCGGATACAAGATTGCACAACGGAAGGCTTGAATACCAGTGATCCAATCAATCAAGCTGCCATGCAGACCAAACATGCATGATCATCATTCCATGGTGTGAAGGGGGCTGACGCGCACACAGGAAGAATGCGTCAGTCCCCCGATCATACACAGACGAAGAAGAGGGGGATGAGACGAAGGGGAGGGAGAAGATGGAAATGTCGTCAACTCCAAGTCTTCGATACAGTCCCAAATAATCCCTCACCAAGGTCTGAATCACGATGCTGAGTCTGAACCCCAATGTCGTCAAATCCCAATGTCGCCCATCTCTCTCTCTCTCTCTGTCTCTCTCTCTCGCTCTCTCGTAGCTGGCAGATACAGAGAAGTCAGGGGGCGAGAGGGTGAGAAAAAGATGGTGGACTTAGAGGAGGAAGAAGAACTCATCTCTCTCTCTCTCTCTCTCTCTCTCTCTCTCTCTCTCTCTCTCTCTCTCTGATACTAACCTGTGAAGGTGAAGTCTTGCTGCAGGTACATCGAAGACGAGCTGGAGCTATGTCGCCGCAGGTGAGTATCCCTGGCCTCCGCCAACCATCTCTCTCTCTCTCTCCTACTAGCGCCCAGCGCTGAAGACTAATGCTATCGCTACCGCTCCAGAGTACCTCTTGCCTTCTGCACGTGAAGTGCCTAGGAACTGCCTGCAGCCTGCAGGGCGGGTCAGCATTATATAGTGCTGGCCCGTCCGAGAGGCTGCTCGTGCCTATGCCAAAACGTGCCAGACCTTGGGGTTGACGCTCCACAAAATAGGCCTTAAAGGCCTGAGCTAAAACCCCGATCTGGTGCCTGAGTTTCAGGGTAGGTCGATCTTGCGAGGGCCTGAAAATGGCCCGTCGTTTTCAGGCTGGAGGCCGAAACGACACAGGGCCTGAANTCTGGTGCCTGAGTTTCAGGGTAGGTCGATCTTGCGAGGGCCTGAAAATGGCCCGTCGTTTTCAGGCTGGAGGCCGAAACGACACAGGGCCTGAAACAGGCCCTACCCCTACGGTCCCTTAGTCTACCAGGTCGGGCTCTGCTGGGCCCGTGTGGTACGGAGTATGCCACACTCTCCCCTCCTTGAAAGACCGAGCTTACCTGCGAGGGCGAAGCTATCTGGTGGAGGGAGGGACTTAAGTCCAGGTGGGAGGCTGTGCAGCTTCCGTCGCTAGCCGTTTCTTCTCATAATGAGCATAGATGTCAGGAGCGGAGGCTCGCAAAGCTGCCCGGGAAATCCATCGCGTGTCATCGGGGTCGCACCACTTGTATGTGACTTTGTACTGCATAGGCTTGTTGCCATGCTTGCGGTGCGTGATGACGAGGTCGACTTCCTGATGACCATCCATGGAAGGAGGGTCCTGTGATCGTCGTCCTGGGAAGTCGTCGCAATTGGCTGGTGTATATGTGGCCAGCTTGGAGGCGTGGAAAACCGGGTGCACTGTGAGGTGCGGCGGGATTTTGATCACGAATGAAGGGCCATCGGGCTCATCACCCGTGGCTGATGTGACGGGCCATGGTCCAAACCACTTTGGAAGTAGCTTGCGGGATACATCCTGCTCGAGTGCAAGCTCTTCCGTGGAGACCCAAACAAGGTCGCCGGCGCGGATGGGGCATGGCACGCGACGCCTGTTAGCTTGCTGTTGCATGCGGACTTGAGCCTTTTGAATGTTGGCGCGGGCTTTAGCCAGCAAGTCCCTATACTTTCGAACGGAGGCGGGTGAACAAGCGGCGTCAATGTCGGCAGTCCTTGGAAAAGGACGATCAGTGAAGATGCGGCCTTTCCGGCCACCGTGGTGTAACTCGAACGGAGTTACGCCGATCGCCGGGTGCACCGTAGTGTTGTAGGCGAATTCGATGTCTGGGAGGCTGTCCACCCAATCCTTCTGGTCCGTACGGATGGGGGTGCGAAGCATTACTTGAGCGGTTTGATGTGCCCGCTCCGTCTGCCCGTCCGTTTGCGGATGCCGAGCCGAACTTGGTTTCATCTCGGTGCCGGACTCTTTCATGAGAGAGGTCCAAAATGCCAACATGAACCGAGTGTCGTGGTCGCTGACGATGTCTTTCGGAACGCCGTGGCCGCAAATCCAGCCGGTGTGTAAGAGGCGTGCAAGTTCCGGAGCCGTGGCGTGGTACTTGCAAGGAAGAAATCGTGTGTACTTGCTCAAACGGTCAACGACCGTGAGAATGTCGTCGTGCCCAAAACAGTCCCCGGGGAACGGGCCAGTGACATCCATGGCAATGGAGACGCGGGGTTCCTGTGGAATAGGCAACGGGCGTAACTGGGCGTAGGGGTTGCGATTGCGGGTTGCTTCGTCGACAAACTTCGCAAGAGTCGCAAGACCGTCGGTAATGAGGTCAGGCCATCGGAATCGCTGCCAAAATCTTGCGATCGTACGGTTGACTCCGAGGTGGCCGGCGAGTCTCGAGTCATGGTACTCGCCGAGGAGACGAGTCCGTAAGCGACGGTTGTGTGGGACGCATAGTAAGTCCTTGCCTCGTGAGTGAAGCAGCAGGTAGCCATCGATGATGCGATAGTGGCTGGCCGGTGGGTGATCCGAGGATAGTTGCTCGTAGAGCGTGGCGTATTCCGGATCGGACTTGTATGCTCRCACAAAATGCTGATGAAGGGCTTCGTCGAAACTGAACGCGTGGTGAGTCACTGCGCAAAGATCTGATCTTCGCGAGAGAGCATCCGCGGCTCGGTTGGAGAGGCCCGGAATGTGTTTCGGTGTGAAGTCGAACTGATCGATGAAGTACATCCACCGAGCAATTGTGCTGCTCACCGTGTCTTGCGTCTTGTAATAGGTCAATGGGTTATTATCCGTCACCCAAGCGAACCTACGACGCCCGAGGAGGAAGTGTCGCCAACGCTTGAGTATCGTGACGAACGCGAGCAACTCCTTCCGGGCATCATCAACCAAGTTGGCACCTTTTGGCTGAAGTACTCAACCGGGTGCCAATCTACTCCGTCGTGTTGTTCCAAAACTGCAACCATGCCGTAGCCGGAAGCGTCCGTAGTCACTCTCGTAAGCAAGGTGGGATCGTAGATACTCAAGACGGGTGCGAGGACCAACGCCGTCTTCAATTTGTGGAACGAACTGCGAACTTCGTCGGTGAACTGGAAGGGCACCTGTGGAGACTGCAATCTGGACAAAGGTGCGGCGATCCGCGCGTATCCTCCGATGAAGCGTTGGTAGTAACCGACCAATCCCATGAAAGAGCAAACCTCCGTGGTGTTGGTCAGTTCCGGCCAATCCTGAATGGCCTTGATCTTGTCTGCAAGCGGACTGATACCTTGCGGCGTCACAAAGTGGCCGAAGTACTCGAGCTCCTGCTGTGCGAATTCGCACTTGGCTCGGTTGGCCTTGTACTTGGCCGTACGTAGCCTGTCCAAAACAGCACGTAGATGCACGATGTGCTCGTCCGAAGTTCGACTATACACCAAGATGTCATCGAGGTAGATGAACACGAACCGGTCCAACATGTCGCGAAACTCCATTGTCATTGCCGCTTGGAAGGTGGCYGGGGCATTCGTGAGGCCGAATGGCATTACGACCCACTCGAAGTGCCCGTACCGTGTCTTGAACGCGGTTTTGTACCCATCTCTTGGATGGATCTCGAGCTGGTGGTAACCGGATTTGAGGTCCAACTTGGAGAAATACTTGGCGCCGCCCAAGCGTTCGAGAAGATCGTCGATGTGTAGGAGCGGGTCGACATTGTTAATGGTTTGAGCATTAAGCTTGTGATAGTCAATGCATAAACGTAGCTCCTTGTTCTTCTTCCGAACGAAGACAACATGTGCACCGTAGGGCGAGCAGCCAAGGCAAATCCAGCCCTTGTCAATGAGGTCATCGAGTTGCGTTCGAAGCACTTCGAGTTCCTCCTCGCTCATACGGTAAATATATGTGCGGAGGTACGGCCCCGTCTTCGAGGATGATCTCGTGATGAATTGGCCGATTCGGTACGATTCCGGTGGGGGCTTCAAAGACCTCGCCATAGGAGTCAAGAAGTTGTACAATGCGTGGATCCGGTGGCTGTTCCACCGCTGGCTCGTCGGGAGGAGGGAGGGCGTGCAAGAAACAAATGCCCATTTCCTCCACGTCGTTTCGTGCGATTGAGTTGCGAATGCTTGCCGCGGAGACCACGGGACAACCAATCGAAGGATGAGGTGGGGGGACCGTACATGGCACAAGTACCCCGTTCCGGTCACGAACGTGAACGGTGCGGCGGTAGAAGTTCACCGGGKGGTCCTCGCTGCGCAGCCATGACATGCCCAAGATCATGTCGAACTTAGTGTCCAATATGTGGAAGGATACGGCCTCGCGTGCAAGCGGGGCGAAGTACACGGGGATGGCGTCAATGCATCGGTCAATGGACTTGTGCGTACGGTCGTCGGCCAACGTGACTTGTGTGGGCTGCGATTTCCTTCGAACGCGCGGGCCGGCGTAGGTAATGAAGTCCTGGCTGATGTAGTTGCGAGTAGCTCCACAATCAATCAAGGCGCTGCAGATCGCCTTCCTGATCTGAATGCGGACGTAGAGTAACGGTGCGTCGGTGTCGTCGTACCGTTGTGTGGCGTACTCGCGGTCAATCTTCGCAATGTACTCGCAAAGGTCAACAACCGCTACTCTGTCTTCCATCAACGGAGCTGGTACTGCAGCGTGCAAGTAGTTGCGTAGCTCTGCCATTTGGGCGTTGCAATGCGGCTTCGGCAAGGAACCAGATGGGGGAAGAGGCAACCATTGGAAGTCCTCCGGTGTCAATGGGTTGAGTTCCTCAAGTCTAAACCACACCGACGAGTCCCCGTGTGATGTTGGCGAGGATGCTGGTTCACTTGGCGATGGTGATGAAGTCGCGCACGCATAAGACTCTTGCACGTGGAGAGGTTGGTCCAACGGCGGGACCAGCTGGACAGCATAGTCTTCATAATCGTCGCGAAGACTCACTTCCTGGGAAGCTCAGTTTCCCGAGCTTTGCCGTGGACGGACGTCTTCTTTGCCTTTGTCAGGGCATTGTGACGTCATATCCTTGGTGCTGTTGCACCAGTAGCAACAGTTCCACCTCTGGCGGAGTTTGTATTGCTCCTCGGTGAGGCTGAACTTCTTCCATGGCTCATTTGGCTGTCCGGCTTCTTTTGTTGACACAAATTTCGCCTTCTTTTTCTTGTTGTTGTTGTTGCGTCGTGGCGGAAGGGCGTTGACTCCGTCTCCTTCACTAGACTCGTGAGTCATCGCCTGGTCGTTCTCTTGTCCATTTCCTTGGACAACAACGACTTGCTACGGCCGCGGGCCTTTGCCCTTTTCCACAAAATTCGGTTGGTTTCGGCGCTCGTTGGCTGCCCACCGATTGGTTTGGATGACTTCGTTCGCCTTCTCCACGATCTGGTCGAAGTCCGTGTACAGGCTGCGCTCCCCAAGGGTCGTGCTCAACACGTCCACTGACCGCTGGAAGAATTCGCGACGAAGATGTACGAATGGGATATCCAAGTTCGGAATCGTCACGATTTTCTGCCACTCGGTTAGCCATTCGCGTGTTGGCTGGCTGCCTTGATGCATGCTGAAGATCCGGTTCACGCCTTTGCCCTGAGCATCGTCGACGATGAAGCGTTTCCGCCACTTCTCAGTCATGGCCTCCCAAGTGATCTTGGTGTAAAGCTTAGAGACTTCGACGCCCTCGGTTTGAGCCAGGTGGTTGAGCCACACTTGGCTGGCATCGGTGCTGCAGAGGTAAAGTGCTGAGATCTTCGACTCTGACGGGACCGAGTGGATGGAGAGCTCATTAGTGAACCCTTGCCACCAACTGATGGGGTCCGCCTTGTGGTAGTCATCAAACTTGTCGATGCTGAACTTCCGCATCTTGTACTGTTTAGGCGTCAAGTTGTTGCAGGTCCCGGTTGGTTGCTGCTGCAGTTGACGCAGATCCGCTTGTAGGGCGGCTATTTGCTGGCTGATGGTCGTCGGGTGTCGAAAATTGTTCAAATCGTCGACAATCGCGACTAGGTGATCCAGCCGTCCTTCCAGCTCGCGGATCGATGGATCAATGCTTGACGATGCCGTGTGCCTGTGCGGCACGTCATCCTTCTGCAGCATGTCCAGGCAGGCGTGGAGGCTCTTAAGAGTATCCTCGTACTCAGTAATGGTACGTGCCTGCCGGGCCAGCTCCACTTGTTGCCAGTTACAAGTGAGGATGACTTGGTGCATCATGCTGGCGAGAGCTGACTTAGTCTGGTCCTCCGTAGTAGGTTTCGTCGTTTCCGCTGGATCAACATGCCATGCTTGGAGTGCTGCGGTATGAGCGGCTTCTTGCTGCATGAGGACAGATGCGTCATCTCTTCGAGCTTGGTTGTGGTTGGCAGCTGTGTCAGCTTGCTGCCGGCGTCGTTGCTCTTCTGCGCGTGCAATGGCATTGAGGCGTGCCGCTTCGGCTGCTGCCTCACGTTGCTGTTCCTCTTGGACCTGCTGCATGTAGGTGCCCAGGCGGGCCAGCTCCACTTGTTGCCAGTTACAAGTGAGGATGACTTGGTGCATCATGCTGGCGAGAGCTGACTTAGTCTGGTCCTCCTAGTAGGTTTCATCGTTTCCGCCAGATCAACATGCCATGCTTGGAGTGCTGCGGTATGAGCGGCTTCTTGCTGCATGAGGAGAGATGCGGCATCTCTTCGAGCTTGGTTGTGGTTGGCAGCTGCGTCAGCTTGCTGCCAGCGTCGTTGCTCTTCTGCGCGTGCAATAGCATTGAGGCGTGCCGCTTCGGCTGCCGCCTCACGTTGCTGTTCCTCTTGGACCTGCTGCATGTAGGTGCCCAGGCGGGCCAGGAAGGTCGCCATGGTCTCTCCGTGCTGCCAGACTGGTGCAGCGTCGAGGGTTCCCGAAGAAGTCGCAGTGGAACCCTCCTGCTGGGCTTGTGGGGCCGGGGGGTTCGAGCTGCAGGCCTCCCGTGGACTGCCGGATGCGGCATTGTCCACCGTGAGGTTGCCCTGGGTGTCCATGTCAGAGGGGTGGGGCATACGTAGCTGCTGTTCTGCTGCGGCTGCCCGCCCTTCTCGTGCTGCGATTCGGTTGCTGCATCGGAGCATAAGCTGCAGTTAGCTGTACGGTGTTGATGATGCGGTACTGCTGACGTGGCCCTGCTACTGACGTGGCACTGCTGAAGTGATACTGCACTGCCGTGACCCTGCAACTGCCGTGGCCTGCTGACGTGGCACTGTAACTGACGTGGCACACAGGCAAACAACCCAACTGCAATGTGCTTGCTGAGGAAACAGACAGGGGGGGTGGGTGGGCGGGAAACACAGGCAAACAACCCAACTGCAATGTGCTTGCCGGCCCTAATCAACAGAATAACAAAAAATAAAAAAAATAAAACAAGCGGATGACCCCTTTTTTTTTTTTYTTTTTTTTTGTATATCTGTCGATCTGTTATCAGTGAGGCATTTCACGGACAATGCTATGAGTGAGATCTAGGCAAGGTAGGATAAAGGTTCGATTATCAGAAAAAAAATAAAATAAAATCAGTTTCCGAGAATGTGACAATCTCCTATTGTGCCTAGCAACGAAATGCTGATGGGCTTCACAAAATTTCGGTTTTTACAGACCAACTTTTTGCGAAATAGAATGGAGATTCGATTTTCAGAAAGGAGTAGATTTCGTTTCCCGAATATGACAACCTCCTATTGTAACCCTAATATGCCCAGAAAACGAGATGCTCATGTCAGAAATTTTCGGATACTAATATAAAAAAAAAAAAAACGATATGCAACCATCAGAAATTTTCGGATATTTGTTACATAAAAGAAAAGAAGTGCAAATATCGGAACTTTTCAGATAAAAACGAAATGTTATTATCAGAAATTTTCGGATATTTGTTGCGTGAAAACGAAATGCAAATATTAGAAAATTTCAGATAAAACGAAATGCTACTTATCAGAAATTTTCGGATATTTGTTTCGTAAAAGAAAACGAAGTGCAACTATCGGAACTTTTCAGATAAAACGAAATGTTTTTATCAGAAATTTTCAGATCTTTGTTGCTTGAAAACGAAATGCAAATATCAGAAATTTTCAGATGAAACGAAATGCTAATACCGAAGTAAAAAGAAAAAAAAAGAAGAAAGAAAGAAAAAAAAAATTGCAGAGATTTTGACGAAACCCTACTTGATTCACTAATCAATCAATCAATCAATCAATCAATCAATCAATCATTCATCAGTAGATCAAGCAAGCTGACTACTTGATTGGGCGGATCTTGATGAAAAAGATCCACTCCGATACCAAACTGTTGCATACCATAACGGTGCAGACCAGACCAAGAACCGATCTTTCTCGCCAGATACAAGATTGCACAACGGAAGGCTTGAATACCAGTGATCCGATCAATCAAGCTGCCATGCAGACCAAACATGCATCATCATCATTCCATGGTGTGAAGGGGGCTGACACGCACATAGAAAGAATGCGTCAGTCCCCCGATCATACACAGACGAAGAAGAGGGGGATGAGACGAAGGGGAGGGAGGAGATGGAAATGTCGTCAACACCAAGTCTTCGATACAGTCCAAAATAATCCCTCACCAAGGTCTGAATCCCGATGCTGAGTCTGAACCCCAATGTCGTCAAATCCC